ATAAATAATTCGTATTAGAAATGCAATTATACATTTATAAAGATGTTTTTTGCAAATAACAGTTATAAATTTCGAGTAATTAAGTAATACTGAATCATACCTGAATAAATGGAAGCAAGCACTATAGCAACAAAGTCAAAATTTAATGAAATTAACAATCGATATTGTTTGCTTCTTCATTTCACAAGAAGTAGGAATGGATGAGTGATGAATGAAAATTTTCAATTCGCATCCGATAGAAATGATTTAGAGAATGGATAAATAAATATTATTGAAGTGATGCTGCGCTACATACACACCTATTTGAATTAGATGGGTCAGTGAACAAATGTATAATATTTGTGGATGTAATTGAAAGATTAATACCACTACCATTCGTCCACTTTGCATTCCAAGAAATAATAAATGAAACATTTCTGTTTGGTTTCAACCATGACCACTGTCCATTAATGCTTACACAGTTTACCTTACATATTCCTTCTGTTTTATAAAACAGAACAAATTTTGCAATTAAATGTTGCTAAATTGAAGGAATTTTGAAGCAGTATTGGTGTATGGCAATATGCAACAATTGCTGCACAGTAAAGATAACAAAATAGAAAAAAAGAGAACAACAAAATAAATTAAATGAGTAAAAATTGTTTTTCTTTTCCCAAAAAAAAGATAAAATTTGACATTTATTTTTGCAAGTATGCCATGATTAATCAATGTATATTTATTATGTTAAAATGCCTTTGTAAGTGCAAAACTAGTAGCAAGGCGTATTTGACTTGTTTTCTTACAAAACCATAATTATTTTAATTAATTTGAGTTATACTCTGGAAAACCAAGCCATCGTTAATAAATATTTTATACTAAAACGACACATGTCATCAAATTTAAATATACTCTAGGTGTCTATATGCTTTCCAATTAAGAAAATTTCTAACAGTATGCCATGATGCATCTATTTTTGCATAAGGCATTTTTTTTCTTTATTTTGAACTTCTTGCCTACTGCTGTTTATATTTGGCATTTTCCATCTGAAAAACACTTTATGATAGAAAGAAAGAAAAGTACGGAGACATCTTTTCAGAACCTCGAATGTCTGGGTAGTTGCAAGGAGTACCAAATGTCTGAGCACTGAGACAATGGTCAGGAATCTGACCGCTTCTATTTATTTGTTGGTCAGCTGCATCTGTTGTAAACACAATGTAAACAAAATATCATAAACAAATAGTGTCATAACACGAATATTATTCTAAGTGGTTTCAATAAATAGGCGGAAGTTTTTTACGCCATATCATTTGCAGCACAGTATAAAACTTAAACTAATACAAACTAAACAGCATTAAGCTATGTTTATTTGCTTGATGTCACATCAAAAAATTTGTTTTAATTAAACATTATTTGATTCCAACAACTGATGGTTTTCAAACGTATTCGTAAGCTGCTACTAATATTGCTAAATTTTTTTTTCCAAATTTTTTTTAGAATGATAGTTTTTATCATCTTATTATGATTCAAATAAATATTTTATAAGCAGTTTTCTTCTTCTCAATCCTTAAGTAATTAAAACCTTATTAATACTTTCTACACCTGGAAACAGTTGCAACCCCTTATGCTTTCTGCAAGATGCACATTAGTTCAATAACTCACTATGTAATTTGAAGTTTAAATTGTATGTCTACTTTTCCACTTTTTTCTATGCAAACAAATGCAACAAAATTCATTTCCACATGAACATTGTTCAACTGAACTTCAGATAATTTCGTTTAGTAAAAAATAAGTTTAATGATTTGAATGAATGTCCATTAAGAAAAGTGAAGTGTTGTTTCTTCAAATAATTAAAATACACAAATGGAATCAATGAAAAGTAAAGGTTTGTGAGCACTACTGAAGTTGTGCACTAATGATGATGAGCTGAGTGTTCGTGGTCTGCGCAGTATCTTTCAAGGCCACTGTTACACTTAACATAATTATCTGCCACTATCAGCAATAAATTTGATCAGTAAATTAGCGTCAAAAAAAGAAATTCTATAAGAACTGTCACCCTTGGTACTTCCATCTGTGTCGTAAACCATCAATCTGACACAGGTGGTTTACGTATATAAATTAAAATGCATTTCTGCAACTCCTCAAAATTTCTACTTATTTTTACTCAACTATTCAGCTTACATCGCGTCACAAGTCGCGTGTATTTCGAGTTGACGTATCAAAGCCATACCATGCCATTATTTCTACAAATGTGTTTCTTTTCTAGAAAATAATTGAAATATCAATATGGCTTCATTTGTGCAAGCAGTGAAATATTCCTACTTTAATGAATTGTTATCAACAAGTAAATATATTTACGAATCAGAGTTTCAAATTTCACTTCTGATATATAATTGTCTATCTGAAATGTTTTCTTTTCAAATTAACTTTTTATATCAAGAACCAACTGCAATCATAACAGTAATGAAACTAATCCAATTATTCCCTTTCTTTGAGCATTTGCTTCTGATAAGTTTGATTATTACAAATAGCGCACCGAGTCAGTTCATAATTTATTCGCAGCACCATCTTCTCTTCTCTAAGGAACTCATTAAAGTGTCCAAAAATGTCTTTTACATTTAGCATTGTTTGAAAGGATAGGAAATATGAGTTTTTATTCAAAATAATTTTATTTCAATGAATTGCAACGAAAAAAAATAATAATTTGAGCACTCAATAAATAATATTTAAAAGGAAGTATACTAAAAACAGATTAAACTGAGATCAATAAAACGAAGGATTCAGTAATATTCTGCATATTTGAGGAAACAGGAGTATCTGAAATTGTTCTAAAAATAATATTAAGTTAATTTTTAATTAAAAAACTGATATCAACAACATTCTCAAATAGTTACAAATGGTAAGAGAAAAAAAGACTTTGAATTATACATTTAGATATACAGAGACTGATGTAGATTTAGGAAATAAAAGTTCTTAATGAAATTAATAGCACTGATTGCTCTTAATATTTTCAATTATATGGAAATAAACAATTTTAAAATTGAATAGGAAGTTTCACTTTAAAATATGAGTTCTACACAACTTCAAAGAATAACGACTTTATGGTAATGCAAATTATTTTTAAAATTCCAAAAACATAGCACATATATACTTAGTAAAAAAAAGTTGGAGCAGCACTATATAAAAAGCATTTTGATTGCCGGATTTTAAATTTAGTCATTTAAAAAATTTCACCAAGAATTTGATTTATGAAAACTTACATGAAATTTGTTTGAAAAAAACTGATTTCCTGATGAAAACAGCTTCATTTTTCAGAAATCGGTAGCATCCGATAATTTGTTTACTAAATTTAAAAAACCAAACAAATTTTTATTATTAATAAAATAAAATAAATCTCTGAATTTCAATATATCAATGACGAATTAATCCATCGCAGAAACTATTCGTCATCTTTTCTTTGTTTAAAGTTTTGTTAAATATTAATTAAAAAGTGAAACATTGGATGCTTAGATCAATGACTAATTATAACTTTCAGTATAATCAGTATTTTATCGATGAAGAAGAATTTTTCATCATTAATCATTCTCAAAGGTAATAATGGAATTTTTTTAAACTTCGACAAGTTTTCAAAAACTTGTGGGACGGAAAAAATACAAAAATAACCAAATAATTAATAAATAATCAATTGTAACGGCGTTAATTTGAATGTCTTTTTATATACATTTATGTACATTAATAATGAAAATAATAGTAAGTAGTAATAATAATAATAATAATAATAATAATAATAACAATAATAATGATAATGATGATAATCCTTTCGAGATATAAACATTAAACAATAAAAAGTTCTGCACTCAAAATAAAATTTTAAAGCCGATTTTGGATTAATGCAACAATTAGAAGAGAATTTGATTTAATGCTCTTTAAGTCTCTCATTTTTGATGAAGGCCAGTGGAGGCACTTTCAAATTAAAATTCAAATATTCATGAATGTTCAAAGTCCTTCTAAGCTTTCGTAATCAAGACTGATTGAAAATACAAATATTTATGCAATATCAAACTTCCCTTTTAATTTTTAAGTCTTATTTTATCATCAGCATTGTTATATAAAATTTTCCCAACCGACGATCAACTTTGCTTATTGACTTTTTGATTACTGAATTTATTTTTTTTTTTTTTTTTATTCAATGAAATTCATTTTGCTAATCATTTTTCAAGTCATTCACTGGAATTTTGGGCGAACTATTTCAAAATTCTATATTTAATGCCTTAAATCTCTTGAGATTTTCCAATTTTTTACCAGTCGAGTTTAATAATCCAGACTTCTATTATTCCAAAGTTTTACCAAGCAAAGACAACCACAAGTACTTCTGATTACTCCGTTTTAAAAAATAAATAAGATTAAGTACGTTATAATAGGACTGATTAAGCAATTACGTTTCTATTTCATTGCAGCGATTAAATTCCCTCGTTAGTGCTTTTTTAAATTTGAAATCAAATGAAAATTTCATCTGCTGCTACCAAATTATAATTATGCAAATTAATGGATCATTTGAAAAAAGAAGAAAGAAATAGCTGCAGCTGCTAGAAAGTAAATAAATAAAGTGAAAAGCGGGGACCCGAGTTCCGCTCCGAAACACACCAATAGAAAGAATGAAAAGCACTTAGCTGAATAATCGTTGTCATGGAATAATGTCACATCAAGCCAGCAGTTTACATTTTGTTATCTGTAAATTGAGAAAAAAAAATTGTAAATGCAATCAAAAAACACCAAAAATAAGGTATTTTTATTTAAAGTTAAAGAAGCAAATATCTAATTGAAATTGAAGATGAAAGGTCACCGAATCAAAGCAAATTTAATCGCGGAGCTTTTTTGAATACTTCCAATTTAACAAACAGTTCGATAAAAGTTGTTTCGTGATCATAAGAAGTCAAGTTCTAACTAATTAGTACTTACCAAAAAAATGTCAGAAAGAATGAATGAATGCGACGGGGGATGATGTGGCGCAGATGTTTTATTCTCTAGCGACATCCACAACTGAGTACTTCCATGTCAGGGTAGTTCTTGATGACAATTTTACCCTCAACATCAATATAGAGGATTGCTAGAGACTCCATTTCAGTTGGGACGCAACATGGAGCTGGTACTAAGTTTGGATCCACTGAATTGATAAGGCCTTGTACTATGGCGTGATTTGTCGTGTTGAAATGGCTTGTCAGTGGGTTCGGACATTCACCTTGACACTGATAAGCGCTGTAGCTTGCTAGAAGTACAATCTTAATTAATCTTAGTTTAAATTAATTTCCAGTACATTTATTATTCATCACTCAAGGTAATTCTTATAGTTTTGTTATAGATTTGTTTAAATCTAAATAACATGAAGAAATGATTGGCATGCTATTAGGACATTAAAAAATATGATTTCAAAAATTATTCTAGTTCTTGTGATTAAAAATAATAAAGGCATATCCAGATGCTTACAGGGAGCCAAGATCCAATCTTGCCAGTTCAATTCATTAAAATCAACTAAAAGTTGTGTACGTCGACAATAATTTTTATCAGCCGATCGATGCTCATGCTTTTTATGTTGATGTCGTCGTCGCTTGTTTGCTTTCCGTTTCTTTCGCACCTAAAATTCCACAATTTGTCTGATTTTAGTTTTCTAAATATTTACGTTTATAGGAACATTTATGGTTAAAGGTGCTTCAGTTCAATGTTGTTATGAAGTGCTGATACAAAAAGATTATAAGTACAGTGCTACGTAGACCGAAACACTTCCGATTTATTACATACTTTGTTCGAAAATTTTATGCTCATTTAAGCGCAATTTATTTTGATAAGGCAAGAAACATAACGGACCCTAGCAGTATCATCAGTTTGAACGTAAACAACCAGTGCAGAGGACTGCTTCCTGTCGCACGGCGAGTCGGAATAAGTTGCTGTTTCATATGACGTGCTTGCATATTTACTCAATAATTTCATTGCAAAATCAACCTAAAATATCAAAACAACTTCTTTATTGAACATTCACACATATGCCATATTCATAACAGTTTATATTGTTTTGTTAAATTAGACATTACACCAGAAAATTTCTTTTCCACTGATTGGTACATACCATAAATTCAACACACATACCCTATTCATATTCGGTCGTCTCCTACGTATCGCTTCCGTGACATCCATTTCCACCCATTGGTATTCTTCTCGTAAATCACCTTCAATAAACTTCGCGTCGATTAATCTGCAATAAGATATATTTAAAAATATGCCAGACATTGAGAGAACCACCCATCAAATAGAATAAAAAATATTCTATTTAAGTTTTAAATGTCGAGTAATAAAATTGCAAGAATTTGATGTTACTAATGTATTTTTAAATTTGCGGAAATGAAAATGATATATGGACCATAGGTGAACTTAATTTTGAAATTATTAAAAAGAAAGGATGAATGAAGAATACTCGCCAAAAAAAATTTTTTCAAATGATCTAGCCTTTTCAAATATTTACCTCCATATTTCGGGATTTCTTTGATCAACTTCATAAATCTTGATATGTCTTCGACTTTTCTCATTTCTCAATTTCAATTTTAGCTCTGCTCGATTGATTATCTCACTAGTGATATTTCGTACAGTAACCGACAAATCGTACTGAAGTAACAGGGTGCTAAAAAATACTCATTTTTATCTGAGATTACTAAATTATAGCTATAACAGCAGCATTTTACCAATAAATAAATATTTTAAAGAGTAAACTAAATTTTAAAGAGCTGACTAAAATGATACCTATTATCTGATTCCATAACATTATATGGATAGTAATGTCGAACCCAAGCAATATCTTCCATCTTCACCTTTTCATAAATACTCCACATATAGTATGGGACTGATACTGCTGGCTTGACTTGTTTTGGTTGTTCTTTCATTCCAAATCTAAGTGAAAATGAAACAGTTACACAACAGTTGAAAGGCATCTTGTCAGTGTATTTTGTCAAAATAAATTGATGAAATGCTAAATAGCAATGAAATGAACTGATAATATCTTTAAGATTTTATCAAGTCAGATTAGAATATGAACTCCGCAAGAATTATTTTCTTATGTTTTAAAACTGCATATTCTAATAATTTAATCTTTAAAAGACTAACTTTCTTAAGAATACTTCTCTTAAAAGTTGAATTTCTTGTTCAGTAAATCGGCTTGCGCCAACTGGTGGAAGATCTGTAGTAGCTGCTGACAGTGATGTTACCGAACTGTAGAAGATAATAATTAGAGGAAATAGTACTGATTCTAATATCTTCAGTGATGCAACTTGTTGCGTACAATATGAATGGTAATTTCGTTTTTGTCTTCTTTTTTCTTCAGAAGCAGTTGTAAAATTAGTTGTAATAGCGGTAACAATGAGAGTAGCAGAAGTGGGAGTGGTAATTAGTTGGTTATGCACTTTTGTGCGCTGTTCAACTAAAAATTCTGGTTTGATAGATTCCAAAAATTCGTTCATTTTAGGTCGCAGTAGTAGAAGAGGGTCACAACAGCCACTGAGAACTGCATTGAGCCTCTTTTCCTTCCCAAATTGTGATGCTCTTACTATCACAGTTGTTAACTATGATAGTGATGGGTTAAGAAGGATTCCTTTTTGTTTAGTCGAACTTCCAATGTAGATCGTTTCTTTTGATATTCAACAAAATTTGAACGAATTTTTATTTCCTTTTCTTCTTGAGATGCTTCAGTTTAGTACCAAGCATATCTATTAAAAATGTTTTCAATAATCTCAAAGAAATAAAAGACCGATATATCTTGTGAAAGATTAATCTACGATCATTCTGTATATTAACTGTACACTGATATGCATATAAAATACAAAATAAATCCTACAATTGCGCTTCAGTCTACAAGAAATCTTCTAGATTCTTCCAGAAGACTAAATTCTCTCTTTTTACCGGTAGCTCTCTGCTTCTTTGCGCAATGGCGTTCTTCTTTTTTCTTCTGATATGCTTTTCACTTTCTTTTTTAAACGTGTACTTCTCTTTCTCTCTCTTCCCGTGCGTGTTTTTCTTTCTTCCTTCCAATCCAATTTCCCCTGCAGTGCTAGATGCACTTCTAAACAGCACTCGTTGGTGTCTGAAATATAATTCAAAATTTGCGATGCTGAATCAAAATTGGACAAAGCCGTACACATTATCCATTTTATGCCTTAAACTTATTTCTGCAGTTCTTCCTCAACTAATATTCGTGTTTTTTCCTTTTCACAGTTATCCTTCTCTGTGATTTTGAATTGAATTTTTCTCACTCGAGACAATTAATAACGATTGAAGTAGAAAAATTTTGGATATAATTCTGCCACTATTTTTTCCAAATTAGTAGAAAGAGTAAATTTCATAAGTTTTACAATTGGCTCATGCATTGTATATCAAATCAAAATCAATCATATTTAACATCAATTCCTTTTTCTGAATTCTGGTTTAAAGTGAATTTATTAGATTTGATTTATATTTTTATTCTAAAAATTCTACTCTTTTCAAGAAGAGTGAAAAGTCTAAAGTACTTTTTTGCCCGATAATGTATCAATCTCTTGAGACTAAATGTTGCAAAAAAGGGAGTAATTTAACAATGGGAGCAATTTTAGTTTTTTGTAGTTGCTAGTAAGTTAATTAGGCTTTAGTAAGTGTTTTTCAATTCTTTGCCTAGATCGATACTGAAGTTATTGGAACTGGCGAAAAAGCTGATTAGTATTTACCAATGCAAATTTCTTCAATCTTGTATAAGCATTTGAAAGATCATAAAAATTCGTTTCAGACATCAAAAAAAAAAAAAAAAAAAAAAAATTAAGAAGAATAATTTGAAGTGTCACAAACATACAACCATTAATAATAAAGGAATTAATATTTTCCAAAAGTGTCTCTCCAGAAAAGACACAGTTTTATTACAGAAATATAAGTACAAATGAGAATTCGTTACAGGAAGAAGGAAGAACTGAATCAGTTAGGCATGAAATTCCTTTATTATGAAAAGAATGAATTATAGATTTGTTGATGGAAAGAAACGATTCATTGGAACAGTATGGTACACATCATCAATGTAAATATCGTCGGAGGTAGAAGACTTCAATTGAATTATCTTCTCTTGAGCAGTATAGTATCTTGACAATTAGGAAACGAATCAGACGAAAAGTTACGGTAATGATGTCTTCTATTTTCTACTTTAAAAATCAGTGACTAATTTTTTACTATAATAGATTCAATCCCTCCTAATCTTTCAGTTTTTCTTACAGTAGCAAAACTTCTGGAACAGATTGTTCAACTATAATAGCTTTGAGCAATTTGAGCAATTTGTAATTACTCTAATGAATACATCATATCTCATCTTTTTAATATCTAGAACATGTCTATGAAACGTGAAGAGAGAATTTGTGCTTCGAAATGTCATTTTCCAATAGGAAATAATATATCCTTCAAATGTATGCTTAAAACTGCAAACTGTCAAATCCTGTTGAACTTTTAAATGACCTCAATGTTTCAAAAAGACATGAAGATGATTGAATTAAGCAGTTTTTTCTGTCCCAACGAATAAATCCACATTTCATTTAGAATATGCCAAAAAACACTGTAGGAATTAATAGAGCTACATTGGATTGTCATTCCAAATTTTAAATAATTCTGGATAAAATAGGTTCAAGCAATAGGAAAGTTTAATATCGCATAATAGGTAATTAGGTCTTTGCTATCTATTCACTAGTTTCAGTTTGTTTGAAATTTACCTACTTATAGAATTGAAATTTAATTTCCTAAAAATTTACTAATGCAAACAAGAATTCATTGTTTTTCCATTTCTTCACTCACATTTAAAACAAGACAAATTAGTTTTTAAATACCACAGTTTTTTCACTTTCTGTATTTATGAAAGAAAGTACTGATATGTCTTGAAAACAAGTTTATTCTGTACAGTTTTATAGAGAACACTGAATATGTCGATTACTACTTTGTGTCATAATTAGGAAAAATAGTGGTGCAAATTAGAGGAATTCTTACTTAATACTTTAATAATATTAATTTAAATTTTAAAGTATCAAAAAATTTATCTAATAAAACGACTGACTACGACATTGTGGTCAGTTAATTTTGATCTGAAGATGGCAAAAATAATATTTATTTCGTGTATTTGTCAGAACGAATAGAGATTTGAAAGTTGCAATGGACAATGAATGTGTCACTTACAACCTAAAAGGGTGGCTTTACCATAATATATTTTCGTTTGATGTAGAAATAGAAACATATAACAGTGATCTCTCTCTAACACTGATGATTCATTATGTGTTGTACATTTTTAGGTAACATTTGGAAGTTAGAAACTTTCAGCATATTTATTTTATGCATAATAATGCGAGGCTAACGGAACATATGTATCTTAGCAGTCTAATTCAGATTCCAGAAAAAAGGAATGGATGAAATTGAAAGTTGCGATGAACAACAATAAATGTTAAAAAAATCCGAATACAATTCTAAAGATTAGTAAAAAATTCATGTGAAAAGTAAGTAAGTATATATATATATATATATATATATATATATATTTTTTATATAAATGAATGATGAGTCCTAATAATACATTCGATTATACTTCCACTATACTTTTAACTATTTAAAACGAAAAGGGGGAAATGCAGGTAAAGTTTAATGTACGTGGTGCTGATGATGATAATGATTGATGATACTGTGAGGAACATTTCCGCTAACAGCGAAACAGGATGTGCTCACGATTTTTTCACGCTAATTACATGATGATTGGACTTGAGCTCTAGGCGGCAGACAACGCATTTGTTACGGAATATTTTTGTAAAAAATAGCCTGATTTTTGTATTGATATCATATAGATCGTCATTCTTCAAATTACAGCTAATCCTCCAAACAATAGCTTTCTTTTTATTTAACTATTCTGATGTCTTTCACTTAATTAATTTCGGCAAGTAGAAACATATACAATTTAGGATGATTCACGGTGCTCGGAAAATAAGCACCGATTGATTTTTAAATCGTATGAAATGTTCGGATGTGAGAACATGCAGTTCGTAAAAAAAATTGAAAACTAATTGATTGATTAAAATGTTCTAATTGCACTTAGCATATCTCCAGCACTTTAATTTTTACAACAATAATTTAATATGACACAAATTTTCAGTTAAGAAAATTTTGAAATATCATTTGTAAATAGTAAAATTCTGTTTCAAACTTAACTACGAAAAAAAAATCAAATACGAATATCTTCAAGATGACATTATTTCACATAATTATAAATCTAAGCCACTCACTCAGGAATGCAAGGAACACTTTATGGATTCTAAGGTATTGAAAAAAAGTGAATGAGGTTACTTCATTCATTATTACTATCATTGAAATGTGTCCTTTACGAAATAAAATTTGCGGAATTTTTGCAGCGACTCATTTAATATAGACGGAAGAAAGCAGTTAGTCATCCATTTTCTCCCATATCTCATATACACTTGTCCTTCCTTCGAAATTCTCTCACCTTCATCAACTGATTCCACAAACTATATCATAAGAAATGTCAGAAAAGTTCACTTTTTATTGAGAGCATTAAGAATCAATAAGATAAGTTGATAAGTTGAGACAACTGATAGTGAGCGATTAGTTGGTGACAGTTATGTTGAATAAAGCTTATTGCAATTGTTACCAGTGAAAGCAATTTATTAGCAAATTTTAAGCATGCCTTATGTGAAAAAAATTAAGATTCAGAGAGCTGTTATGTCGTCATGATTGGGTAGCCATTCCAAATGATGCTTCTGTTATTTTATGAATTTTTAAATTATCCAGAAGACGAAAATTTGAACAAAACTGGAAATTTGAAAGCATAAGAAAATTTGTTTAATTACCAATATATATAATATAAATTGTTAATTAAACGGAATAGATGTTGAATAATTAAAATAAAATGAAATTTAATCACAACTTTCTTTTCAGGCCTGATTAAGAGACAAAGCAAAAATGTTATATTCAAAAAAGGTTGAATTCCAAAGATTTATCATCATTTAGTGTTTTAATACTATAATGATATAATGATCTATTTCAATCATTGATCATAAATTATAAAAACACCCTAATTAAGTTAGAGAAAATAAGTGTCGATACATTATAATTCTAATACCTGAGATAGAACAGACCGGCATAGGTAGTAAAAGTATTGAAAACCGAGCTGATTACGTCGATGAGAGGGGTTAATCTGTCGCGATGTGCTTACTTACCTGTTTGCTACTTAGTCTGCCTTGCAACTCTCTAACTTATCTCCGTCCTCCCTTCAACCAAAAAGTTCATTTTCTGTTTATGCGAGTACACATTGTGATGCTATTGCTACCTTTGTTAATTTGTTTAATCTTAAGATTTGTGTGTCAACTCACTATACTTTTAATGTCTCTTCTTCTCCCTTCTTTTTGTCGCACCGAGTAAGCAATATCATTCCCACAAATCATTTCTCTTTTCTATCTACCCA